GGCTGATGTTAAAAAAAAAGAAAACGTCGCCGCGCTGGAGCCGATATCGAACGAGCGTACAGGATCGATTATTATTGGACGTGTGCGGACCGATTGCAGCAGCCTATATCCTTGTTACTTTATCTCGTGAACATTACAAGAAAAAAGGAGAAAAAAGGCGAACACACAAATTATATTAGAAACAAAAAGGAAACGCGAATTATTCGTAATTCGAGAGCAAAATGGTGGCAAAATTCAACGAAGAAGAATCCCCGATCTGGTTCGCCAGAGAGGATTGTAGTTAGGAACGACCGTTCACATCGGTGATCGCGATCGGGAGCCGTCGAAGATCAGTCGGATGCTCGACGCTCGTCTGATGTAGCGGCGCCATCGTGGCTCGACAACCGCGTGCAATAAAAACAGAATATATAAACAATATTAATATCATTATATACAACATTTTTACGGCATATACGAATACGATTGTAGAGAAAAGAAGCAGGTAAAAAAAAACAAGTTTAGGATAATATTACTTGTTGTTGTCTACCATAGCGTTGTAGTTATATACAATACAGGTAGAACATTAAATAGGCAAGCCGAAGCGAATGAGTGGCAGCGTGTGATTGCGTTTAAAACGAGTGTGACGATACAACACGTGAGTGGTCGAAATGGTATAACGTGAGGGGTTTGTGAAAAAGGATGTGTGAACGGTGACAGTGCGCGAAGGAGCGAGAGGAAAAAAATTAGCGTGAAAGGGGGCGTGAATGAGGAGAAACAATTTTTGTTCTTTTTTTGGTGCATTTGGCGAGCGTACATGTTATTATTACGTAATAGCGACTATATATATTCACATATATATGTACTGTACATATACCTATGTGTATATATATACATAATCGAGGAAGCTAGTTACTTATAAAATGCAACAACAAACAACAGAAGAAAACAAAAAAATCAATGATTACAAAGCATTATATACAGAAGTCTATACATATAAAACTTTAACAGAACGTGTGCCTATGTGCGCACGTGCGTACGCGCGCGTACGTGCGGAC